AATACAGACGCCTATACCGTGTAGCAAATAATTGTATACTCTATGAGCTGCTATACAGACTGCTTATGTGCACGCTGTTTGATGCTACCGTACCAGTATTATTTTTGGGTTGCAATAAATGGTGTTGTCAAGATGAGCAGTATAAAAAATTTGAAATCAAACCTGGGCATTTGTCCAACTGAAAACGCGCGCCCCAGTTCACATTCAATACGCGCGCATTCGAGAGGTTAGTGTATATTCTTAAAATGTGCTTCTACCCCACAGAATTTGTTCGATATTTTGCCTCAGTTTGCTTCCGCAGGATTTTGGCAATTAGTTTTTGGTTACTAAACTTTCGTCTTTTTTGTAGTTGTTATTCTGTTGTTTTTTTGGTAACTTTTCTTAGCTGTGATAACTTTTTTAGCTACATTTCCTTTTCTTTTATTTTTTTTTCTCCTCAGCACTGTCTGGGTGTGTCACTTCTGATAGCACCTCTAACGTTTTATTTCAAATAAAAAAATTTTTTTAATTTAAACTTTGTTATCAGCTGTGAATAGAGGTTTTCCCTTTTCCTCTCTCCCCCGATTACTTGGTTTAGAAAACACAAGCATGTTGTACGAAATAAACGATGGGCAATTAACAAAAATGTGAAGGACAGGAAACCATCATTGGCAACTGTTTGCTTCTGGTTTAATCAGGTTTTGAATATATCTTAAGTATTGTTTTAAATGGCTTGTCAGTTCATTTTGCACCAACTTGTATGAATCGTCCGCAATGCTTTTCAATGGGTTTCATTAAAAAATTTAAGTCTCACTTTTTAAAACGGTTTTGCGAAGTTAGTCTTTTTTTTTCTCTTTGATTTCAGGTGGATAAAAATGTTTTTGCTTTGTGTATACTCTATAAACTTTTAATTGATTCCTTTGCCTGCATTTGTTACTCTTTGTACTTTTCAAAGGTATTGTAAAGTTTTTGTATGTTTTCAATTTAACATGATTACAGTTAGTGCTCAATAAAATTCGGTTTTCCTTACATATTTAACATTTTAATTAGCAGTGCTGTACTTAAATATTTATATAATATTTAATAATTTGTACATAATCACTTTTTTATATCTTCGTTGTTACTTGAGTATTTATGCACATGTCCACTGTGTTTTTAAAATATTTTTTTGTTATTTTTATAATCGTGATAAACATCTGATATAGTGGCGTGTTTTCTAAACTTTTGCCGGCAGAATCTATCATTTTATTACGGGCTTCGGGCATTGTTAAGGTAGCTTTTAATTTAAAGCAGTTTTCAAAATGTTATTTTGATCAGCCTTTTTCCTTAATTTCATTTTTAGGCTGCAGGAAACCCTTGTTTGTAGAAGAAAGCATGGTTGAACTTTTTGCGTTTTTTTTAAAAACTTAAATTCTTTTTGAACAGTAAAAAAATTGGTTTGAGTTTGTCTTTGTATTCTTTGGACTGTTACTGAACGGGATTTATGAAAGTGGGAGAAGGTTTTGGAAATTATTATTATAAATTTTAGGCTGCTTCAGTTTTTTGTGCTTTATTTAATTTCGTTAGACTTTCTGATTTCTCGTGAAATTAAAGGCCATAGTGGATCGTATTATGGATTTAGAGCATTTGTCAAAGAAATTTGAGTGTATTTGAAGTGAGAATTGAAATTGAAATATCTTTGCAGTAGAACTTTGAGTTGCTTTGGCTTTGACTAAATTTTGAACTGATATTTATGTCTACTAGTGGTATCTTAATACTGCTATTTTTATTCTCCTTGTAATCCTACTTGCTAACTGTTCTTTTTTAGTTTTGGTTCAAGTTTTGTTATGTCAACTTCGCTAGAACAGCCACGAGGTAGGTTTTTGGTAGTATAGCCAATTTTCTTTTCTTGAATTAGTTGGCATTTATGAAGTTTTTATTTCTGTAAATCCTTCACTTAGTTTTTTTGACAAGAGTGTATTTCTTTTTTAGAATCGAATGGAGCTGATGAGAAGCAGGAAGAGCTATCCGAAGTTGGGTATGTGTTGTACTGTGTTATTTCTTTGAAAATCAGTACGCGTTTTTCTGGATTGCGCAGCGTAGCCACCTTTATTATTAGTTCAAATAATCATATAGGTGGATTATAAAAAATTGTTTGAAGAGAGCGCGCGTTATAGTTTGTTCATTGGTTCCCGCCCAATTGGCATGATTCTCTGTGGCTTGGCAAGCATACTATTTTTTTTAGTGCGTTGCGTTATCAGTAATGTAACCGGATCGGACTTTTTCTTTATGGTTAATATCCATTTTTTCTTATGTTACTTTTATTTTACAGTTTTGCATGTACAGTTATGCCATTTACTTCACCATTTTAGTTGCACTCTGGAGCTTCACCGGTGTGCATCGAAGTATTAGATTTTGGTGAACCCTTTGACTTTTATTTTTCACATTTATGCTTTTATTTTTGTAGTGGTCAGTCAGCCGACGCAATTGTCAGTGATGGGAATTTGAAGGAGTCAAAGAAGGGCTTATTTGGCAGAAGTGCTGAGTTTTTAAAGGTAATTGTTTTCTAAGTTATGTATATTATGGGCCTCAGTAAAAATTTGCGATGTATTCCTTACGTTATTTTTACAGTCTCCAGAACCAAATGCGATGGAAGTCGTTGAAGCAACTGAACGTAATGGCAATGGTAATTCATCGAAAATTACAACATTAATTTTTACATTTTAATTCTATGCAGCTGAAAATATTTGGTTTTCTAATCGTGTACGTGTTCTTTGTTTGACAATGATTGTCATTTCAGTTAATGAAGCTGTGGAAACCAGCAGTCCTACGAATAAAAGCAGCGGGGATTCGACTGAGAAGGTCAGATTTCTTCTATTTTTATTCACTTAACTACTTTTTAAAGAGGTTTTGCATCAATGAAGCTTTTATGGGACCTCGAAGTAAACAATATTTCTGTAGTTTTAAAAATGTGTGTAGGTCTTGAGGTGATTTAAGAGTTCGAGCCCAGCATTCACCTTGGTGTTAGGAGTTCTCTTCACTTTTTTTTTTTCAATTTTTAACCTTTGTTTTAGGAAGTTGATGAAAAGAAGCTTGGGTCTACTTTACCTGCTGATGTAGTGCCTGAGTCTGATGATAGGGGTAATGGTAAAGAAAGTGAATCTGAAGTGCCATCTAAAGAAACTGTTACTGTTACCGTCACGGTAACTGAAGAGGTCGTCGAGGAAGTGAAGGCTGACGACGTCGAGTTAGATTTTGCTTCCAACGATTTATCTTTTAGAGGAATGTTTTATTTTATTTATTTTTTGATTTTAGGATGGCCAGTGATGAAAAACCTACGAAAGAAGAGGAGGTTGCGAAGGAAGAAGAAGTAGAAGATAGAGAAGAAGCTCAAGGGACTGAAACTAAATGTACTACCGAGGAAGGTCATGCTGATGGCCCTCCAGACGTAAGTGTAAAGATTGTTAGCTGCTATTTATAGGGCGGGCTTAAAATTCTTTCAGTTGCTATGAAAAGGAATTTATTTTCAAGTTTGAGTTTTTTTTTTTGTATTTGTTTAAGTTCGTTGTTGTAGTTAGTGGAATAGCAACATGAGGAGCTGTTTTTAGACTTCAATAAAAGGTCAAGCGCAGGAACCTGGTTCTGAAACTGGTACAAAGAGGTCTAGAAAGTCAAAACAAAAAACTTTCAAAGAAGAGGAGCCCATGAATGAAAGACGTCGCAGTCTGCGGACTCCGAAGCCTACACCTGTTAGGTAAAATTGAAAAACTTTTATTAATTTTTTGTTGTTTTCATTTCCAATTGTTTTAGCAGTATTGTGTAAAACTCACAATTTTGCAGTGTTACTTCGTGTCGTAAATCTTAACTGCGTTGTTTGAATTGTTCATTTTTTTCTTTAGCATCCCTCCGAAATCTGCCACAGAGAAAGTCACCAAGAAGTCCGCTCCTAAAGTAGAAAAGGTGATTTATTTTTACCACTCTTATCATTATTTTAGTAATTTTTACACAGTATTACAAGTGGCCTTCTCTATTATTTTATTTTTTACTAGTTCTGGAGCTTTATGAAGCTTCCTTCAAATCTTTTTCTACCCATCCTTCTTTAGGTTTTAAATACCATTACTAGCTTTGCTAAAATGATTTTTGAAACGAAACACAATTTTCTAATGTTTAGATCATTTGAAACTATTTAATTTGCATTGGTAATGTTTCCCTACTTGTTTTAAACCTTTGAAATTTACGATATTAAAGCATTTAAAAAAGTTTTAGGCAGCTTCAGAAACACCAGTGAGGGGTGGCGGAAGAAAAAGGGAAGAAAAAGCAGCTGAGACTACTCCTGTTAAGAAATCAGGTTACTGCTTGTTTTACTGGTTCTGTAATGTATCTGCACCTAGTGTAAAGCTTCGCTTACAAAAACTAATTTTTTATTTTGAATTTAGGGTCAAAGCCCAGTTCAGCTAAAAAATCTCGTTCTTCTGAAAGCGAGAAGAAACCGAAGGCTGAGCAGAATTCAGATGCAAATGATCCTTTTAACATATCAAATATTGATAATCATCCAGTTATTCTTAGTAATATACAGGTATGAGACAGAGTCTCTTCTAACATTTACTGCGCTCTGCGCACTTTACAGTTAGGTTTCCTAAAATTGAAGTTCTTGAATGACCGTCATATCTTCAGATTCACGCTGCTCAGTTCGGTTCGCTAAAGTTCACTAAAACTTCGCCAGGCACTTCACAGTATGCTCTGGTTTTGTTAACTTTTAAATACAAAATGTTGCTTGTTTTAGTGACCGATTTGATTTGTTTAAGGAATTGTTACTTATCAGTAGGAATTGAAATTTTGCTGGAGCAATTAAAGCAGTTTTTATTTTGCCTTTTTCCTTTTTTATTGAGGACCAGGATTTTGGCAATTTTAGAAGTCGTTATGAAAAGACGGAACAAACGGCGGGGGAAAGGCGATCTAATTTGACTAATATGACACCTCAGAGTGTAAGTATTGTTGTCCTATCGGCGTTTTAATCTGCTGTATTCTTTAAATGCTTGACCTTTTTGAATAGCTTAAAGTACAAGGTTCCTGTTATATTGTATTGTATCAAACGGTTTTTGACATTCGAGCTGAGTTTTATGGAAGTAATGGTCGTTTCTGTTGAGCATCTTCCCTTTGTACGTTTTCAGCGATTTTAAGGTCGCTTTTGAAACTGATCTTTACTTGTAGTTTAATTTGCCAAAGTTTTTTCATCATCAGAGTTTTGAAAAAACTTTGCTCATAAATTTTTTGCTGCAAGTGTATTAGAAGCAAGGTTGTTGCTACAAAAGTCCGAATCGACCGCATTGCAGTCAAAAATGCAATGCTATGGAATTTCGCATGAATTACTTTTTATAAACCATTTGTAAATTAATTATGGTGGATTTAACAGTGAATTTTCTGCTTTTTTTTTT